TATTTCAAAACGCGAAGTGTAAAACTGCAGTGGCCTTCCTGTCACTGAGAATAACAAAGATCCTCAGTGAAGCTCAAGCCCATGTTTCTCACTAAATTGTAAGTACAACTTATTAAACAGATCAGTTCAATGCAGCTAATGTCGTCTCTGTGTTATTGCATGATGTTAAAATTGGTTTGCCATGAATTTAGTGATGGATTGTAAACATTTGAAATGTAGCATTTAAGTGTTTCTCAGTTACAAGGTTGTTGTTTTAATAAATCAGACACCGATGGTGCAGCGCTGTGCTGTACCTCTTTATATAGGCATTTCTTCCCTAACAAATTGTTTTTGTGCTGATCTGGGGGTACGTGGCTGAATTTCTTTTTCAAAGGGGGAACATTACTGAAAAAAGTTTGAGAATCACTGATCTACTACACTAGACCCTAGAGCTGAGGAGTATGTGAACCTCCCTAAAGAGTCCCCTCTGAACCTCCCGTTCACTATGTACAGGCCTAAGGCCCGACAGAGATGCACTATCTCTTTGCCATTCTTATTGATTTCAGAGTCGAGGCTGTTCCGATGGCTGACGGTTGGTGTGGTAAACAGGGGGGGCTCACCAAATACATGGTGGCTGCCCTGTGGGTCTATGACATCAGGTTCAATTCCTGTCCGTCCGTTCAGATCTCCAGTTAGAAGCACATTTCCCTGGGCCTGAAAATAGGCGATTTCTGAATGAAGAGTTTCAAAAATGTCTTCTTCAAAATAAGGAGAATCTACTGGGGGTATATAAATAGCACACACGTATAGATTCCTGTCAGTTATGCCCAGGCTTTGATCTAACCTTAGCCAAATGTGTGATTTACCTTGTTTTACTACTGAGATCTGACGGCAAAGATCTCCTTTATACCTCACCAAGATCCCTCCCGATGTTCTGCCCTGCGTATGTTTTTTGATTTTATAGAGGGCACCATGACTTCATTATAACCTGGAGGACAGTGAGTGAGCAGATCACCATGTTTCTGTTCATATAGTTGGATCAACATCTTTGATAGATTCTAAGGACTTTTTTCACTCTTAACCTCAAAGGTTGAGGAGTGGAGTCCCTGAATATTCCAACAGCTTATGTTACGTTCCCTTCTAAATCTAGGGGGTACAAAGGGAAGTAACAACACACAAGGATGACCAAGCACGACAAAAAGGAGAGAAAACCCGATCTCTGAGTAACGAACAAGTCGTTTCATGAACAAAACGGGAACACGGCTCACCAGCCAACTTGCAAAACAAATCTAGCTACAAAAATATATACTGGAGACATGGACACCACGCTGCACACATCCAGCCCGGGGAGAAGGGGAGAGCGACAGCAACCTTCCTCCTGTCCTATATGGAGGCCCTGATTGAGGATTGGGAGCACCTGGGGAGAGGCTGCACCTGGGGAGAGGCTGCACCTGGGGACAATCAGGCTGCACCTGGGGAGAGGCTGCACCTGGGGACAATCAGGCTGCACCTGGGGAGTCAGAGGGAGAGAGAGAAAAACACACACACGACCACACAAACACTACGGCACGTAACAGCTTATATGAAATTAACGCATCACTTTTTCCAAAAACAATCAAAATGAACTTGTATAGTGAGACGAATATATATATATATAATAAATACTCTTGTGGTTTTTTTTAGCTAATTGGTCATATTGTCAGTTAGCGGAGGTGTGTGTGTGTGTGTGTGTGTGTGTGTGTGTGTGTGTGTGTGTGTGTGTGTGTGTGTGTGTGTGTGTGTGTGTGTGTGTGTGTGTGTGTGTGTGTGTGTGTGTGTGTGTGTGTGTGTGTGTGTGTGTGTGTGTGTGTGTGTGTGTGTGTGTGTGTGTGTGTGTGTGTGTGTGTGTGTGTGTGTGTGTGTGTGTGTGTGTGTGTGTGTGTGTGTGTGTGTGTGTGTGTGTGTGTGTGTGTGTGTGTGTGTGTGTGTGTGTGTGTGTGTGTGTGTCAAACGGGAAACGACCAGATTGGATTTGGTATCTTTGTTACCGGTGGTTTTATTTATGACTGAAACTAAGTAAAATGATGTACACACAGATTGGCCCAACAACGGGTCAATCTGTCACTATATAACAACACAAGGGGTCTCCAAAAGAGAGTTGCCCCGCTACACAAAGAAAAACAAATCTCACTACTAAAGTGGAAACAAACAATAAACAAAACGGGACTGTGGAAACACACAGCTGGTGCGGGTCGACAGGTGCTAACCAACCTGGATCTAAGCAGTATACACACACACAAAATCCCTACGCTAACACAGAACCCGACGACACACTGCTACTCAGTGTGCTCGCCTAGAACCCTACTACAGACACTGCTAATCAGTGGAGCTAATACAAAAGACACACGCTAAATCTCAGAATTCACAGAATGAAGGCTTATCACAAGGATAGGGTTGAGGCATCTGACACAAAATACAGAGCCTCCCGACTGTTGTCCGTGCTCAGTCTTTATACTCCTCCCCCGGATGACGTGGCAGAAGCGAGCAGGGGTTGGGCGACGTCAGAGATGGGGACTCGAGTTTGTGACTCGGACTCGAGTCGCACTTAAGTCGCACACACAGAGACTTCAGACTTGACTTGGACTCCTGCTCAAAAGACTTCGGACTCGACTTGGACTCGTGTTTTGGGACTCGTGAACAATCATTGTGTTTTCTATTTTTGGCGTATTAAAGGTGGGGTAGGTAAGTTTGAGAAACCGGCTCGAGATCGCTAGAATTTGAAAATACACAACCGGAGAAAATCTGCCACTTCCTCTCAGAGCCCCTCCTCCAACACACACGAACGCGCACATGACCAATGAGGGCACGAGATAAGTTTGTGCCCCGATGGAGGCTGACAGGCAGGTAGGCCATCCAGTTACTTTAGCCGGGCCGGCTATCGGGATGTTAAGAGCATTCCATGGAATATAACAAAAAGTGTATCTCGAGCCGGTTTCTCAAACTTACCTACCCCACCTTTAACATTAACATCATGGTCAGTCACATTAACGCATATGGACGGTTAGCAAACATGTTTAGCTCAGCATCAGCTATGTAATGTGAACTTAGCTTGCTACTAGCTTTGTAACTGAATATTTGAAAAGATGAGTGAATGTTTGCTTGTCACACTTGTTTGCGTTGAGTGGCGTTGACATCCAACTCTTGACATGACATAAAAAAGGTCGGTAACGTTAATCATTATGTTCCGCTGCCACCATCTACTGGCTAACGTTAAACGTAGAAAAATACATAGTTACATACATAAATACATCTGTCGGTTTATAGGCAGGTTACTGGTTTATTGTTGACCACGTAACGTTAATGTTACAGGTTTATCAGGTTACCATTACACTGGGTTTGAGTGAGAGGATAGAGGAATATGTTTATTCATAGTAGACTTAAAAGATGTCATTAGAGACCCAGTGTAATTCAACAATACGGTTGCAGAGGTCACATTTTAACATTTTTGTCCACTGGCCAAATGGCTAGCCTAGTGAATGTTGAAATGTTACCAGCCACTCAATAGATTGCCATTGTTATTTGTGGCTGGTGCGTGCAACATACAGAACCAGCCACTTGCATGATTTACCAGCATCTGGCTGGTAAATGGTGTTAATGGTAGATATCTCTTTTGGAACAGGTCATGTTTTAATATCACCAGTTCAGTATATTTCAGATAATATTGCAGCAATAGTTTTTTAGTTGCAAATGGCACAGAACAAATGTTTACTTTGAAGTACTTTTAACACAGTTTCCCTGCGGGGGATTCATAAAGTATTTGTGATACTGATTTCTGATTCTGAAGTGTTTTGCTTATAAGTTGTTTGCATTTAGCTAAAGTGTGATGTTTGGCCTCACATTGCATTGCAATAGCCTGTTTAAAGTGATCATATAACAAACAACTAATCAGTACTGATACTGTATGCTAATAGATATAGGAGTGATAATAATACAGTAAATGCATTTGAATGTCTTAGATATAGCTGTGCAGTATTCTTAACAGACTGGATAGCAGCAGACAATAGAAGGCTTATTACAACCAGAAGAGACATGAGACTTTTATTTTTTAGAGACTTGACTTGGACTCGTGACCAAAGACTTGAGACTTGATCAAGTCTCACCCCACAAAGACTTGAGACTTGACTTGGACTCGTGACCAAAGACTTGAGACTTGACTTGGACTTGCAAAAAAAGACTTGTGAACATCTCTGGGCGACGTCTCTCCAATCCCCGCGGATGTTGAGCGGTCCGGACGGCCAATGACAGCAGAGGAACTGCACAGCTCATTTACATACACAAACAGCCTTAAGCTCACAAGGTGTGTGTGTGTGTGTGTGTGTGTGTGTGTGTGTGTGTGTGTGTGTGTGTGGTGTGTGTGTGTGTGTGTGTGTGTGGTGTGTGTGTGTGTGTGTGTGTGTGTGTGTGTGTGTGTGTGTGTGTGTGTGTGTGTGTGTGTGTGTGTGTGTGTGTGTGTGTGTGTGTTGTGTGTGTGTGTGTGTGTGTGTGTGTGTGTGTGTGTGTGTGTGTGTGTGTGTGTGTGTGTGTGTGTGTGTGTGTGTGTGTGTGTGTGTGTGTGTGTGTGTGTGTGTGTGTGTGTGTGTGTGTGTGTTGACTTTTCGTACAATGTCCTGTGTGTGTGCTGCTAAAGTCAGTGCTCGGCGAAATGTCGCTCCTCTGTTTTCATTTAAATGCATGCATTAATCGCGTTAAAATAATTAGTGGCGTTCATTTTTTTTGTTATTAACTCGTTAACTTGACAGCCCTAGTATTTATGCTTTTTAGATTAACTTTCTCTCTTTCTCTGTCCGTCTGTTCTAGAAACCGAAAGGAAAAGAGAGATGTCACAGCTGTCAGCAATGTGACAAATCCTTTACAACATCTGGAACTTTAAAGCGCCACCTGCTTATTCACACAGGAGAAAAAACCGTTCAGCTGTGATGAGTGTGGGACAACTTTCGCTCAATCAAGTCATCTCAAATCACATCAACGTATTCATACAGGAGAAAAACCGTTCAGCTGTGATGAGTGTGGGACAACTTTCGCTCGATCAAGTCATCTCAAATCACATCAACTTATTCATACAGGAGAAAAACCGTTCAGCTGTGAAGAGTGTGGGACAACTTTCGCTCGATCAGGTGCTCTCATATCACATCAACGTATTCACTCAGGAGAAAAAACCGTTCAGCTGTGAAGAGTGTGGGACAACTTTCGCTCAATCAGGTAATCTCAAAATACATCACCGTATTCATACAGGAGAAAAACCGTACTGGTGTGAAGAGTGTGGGAAAACTTTCACTACATCAGGTAATCTCAAAATACATCACCGTATTCATACAGGAGAAAAACCGTACTGGTGTGAAGAGTGTGGGACAACTTTCGCTCAATCAAGTCATCTCAAAATACATCAACGTATTCATCCAGGAGAAAAACCATAGTGGTGTGAAGAGTGTGGGAAAACTTTTTCTCAAAGTATTCACCTTTTAAAGTCCATGAGCGAATGCACACTGCATTGTTTTTGAAGAACTATGAGAGCCAAGCCAGCTGTTTCCTCCTCCTGATGTCCTGAGAGCTGTAGTTATATGTTAAGAGTCTTTCTGAATTGAAGTATCATTGAAATAAAGCTTATTTCATTCAAATGTGTCTTTTCTTCAGTGAGATATCTTTATGGATTTCCTTATGACTCGAGAGTCTGATTTTAAAAGTGTTTTAATATTTCTGAGTCTGACTCAAGCAACTTAAATGTTTGCTTTTGGGCAAAGTCATCTGAACATTGTGTACTGTGCAAGTAATGTGGCACTCTACCTTTGTCCATATATTTAGATAAACAAATTAATCACCATTCAATAATTCATATTTCACGACTCACTGTTACTGTAGCACTGACCACTTTATTGTATAAAGTGCATTCAATTGAAAACACCAGTGGTAGTTAAATGATGTACATCAAAGTATTTACATATAATAAATAGATAATTAACGCCTACAATATCAGAGAAATTTGAATGTAACAATTGCACTGATGGCTCTGTGTTTTGTCACCAATATTATATTTTAGTTGGCACTGCCTCCACGGCTATGGTTATGGCATGATAGGAACTGCTCTGTATTCCTAAAGTTTGACCTTTCTGGCAAAATATTTAATTGATTGAGTATAAATGATGGCAACAGCATAAACTAAGGTAAACACAGGTACAAAAGCTCAAGTGGATACAAATCAGATGCTTTGAAATACATTCACTTTTGTAGATCCCAGGATTTATTTGTCATCAGCAGGTATGAATCAAATGTTAGGAGACTTCTTGTAAACTAACATTTGTTGTTATGCAAGTCAACAACAACGAGATCTCACTCCACTGCAGAAGAAGAACAGGAATGATCCAGCTATTGAACCCAGTTGGATTCTTTAGGACTTTTCCTGAGCAACCATTCACCTTCATTGACTCAGTATAAAGGATGGCAACAGCAACAACATAAACACAGGTAAAAAAGCTCAAGTGGATACACATCAGATGTACAATTATGTACAGGGAGGCTGTGGCGCAGTGCGTTGGTGTTGGGATCAGGGGAGCACAGGTTCAAACCCCACTGCAGTCAGCATGTCGTTGTGTCCCTGGGACACTTCACCCCACAGTATTGAGTATGTAAGTCGCTTTGGATAAAACCGTCGAACATGTAATGTACATAAAACAATTTACATTAATGACGTATATATATTTACAATATACATAACATTACATTGCATTTAGCTGACGCTTTTATCCAAAGCGACTTACAATAAGTGCGTTCGACCAACAAAATACAACTTGAAGAAAACAGAATCATATAAGTACATCAGGCTTCATAGAGCAAAAACATTTCAAGTGCTACTCAACTGGCTTTAGATAAGCCAGTCCTTTATTAGTATAAAAGTGCTTCGTTAATAGTTCTATCGCTCGAAGTGGAGTCGAAAGAGATGAGTTTTCAGTTTGCGCCGGAAGATGTGCAAGCTATCTGCCGTCCTGATGTCAATGGGGAACTCATTCCACCATCCTGGAGCCAGGACAGCAAACCCACGTGTTTTCGCTGGATGGGAACTTGGGTCCCCCTCGCAGCGAGGGCGCAGCGAGTCGTTTGGCTGATGCAGAGCGTAGTGCACGCGCTGGGGTGTACGGTTTAACCATGTCCTGGATGTACGAAGGGCCAGATCCATTCGCAGCATGGTAAGCAAGTACCAGTGTCTTGAAGTGGATTCTAGCAGTTACCGGAAGCCAGTGAAGGGAGCGGAGGAGCGGAGTAGGTGTGGGAACATTTAGGAAGGTTGAAGACCAGACGAGCCGCTGCATTCTGGATGAGCTGCAGAGGTCGGATGGCACATGCAGGTAGACCAGCCAGGAGGGAGTTGCAGTAGTCTAGGCGTGAGATGACGAGAGCCTGGACCAGAACCTGAGTGCGCTTTCTGTGTCAGCTGGGGACGTAACTTCCTGATGTTGTAAAGCGTGTATCTGCAGCAACGGGTTGTAGCAGCGATGTTTGCAGTGAAGGACAGGTTGTTATCTAGGGTCACACCCAGATTCCTTGCAGTCTGAGTCGGGGAAACAACTGAGGTGCCGATGTTGATTGTTAGGTCAAGAGTGGGACAATCTTTTCCCGGAAGGAAGAGCAGCTCAGTCTTGTCAAGGTTGAGCTTGAGGTGGTGAGCAGACATCCACTGAGAGATGTCCGCTAGAGAAGCAGAGATACGTGCGACGACCTGGGTCTCTGAGCGGGGAAAGGACAGAATTAATTGGGTGTCGTCAGCGTAGCAGTGGTAAGAAAAACCATGCGGGCTAATGACAGATCAGAGCGAGTTTGTGTACAGGGAGAAGAGGAGGGGACCAAGAACAGAGCCCTGAGGGACCCCTGTAGTTAATTGACAAGGGTCGGACTCAGACCCTCTCCAAGTCACCCTGTAGGTACGGTCTTTCAGGTATGAGGTGAGGATGGAATGTGCAGAGCCTGAAACTCCAAGTTTTTGGAGAGTGCGAAGGAGGATCTGATGATTCACCGTGTCGGATGCAGCAGACAGGTCCAACAGGATGATGACAGAGGAGAGGGATGCAGTTTTGGCAGTGTGCAGTTCCTCCGTGACAGCAATGAGAGCGGTTTCTGTGGAGTGACCTGCCTATATACATAATACATATAAAACTCAACATGAAAAATAAAAATGATAACACAGCAAGTTGAAAAATATTTAAATGACTATTTACAATATTTACATAGCAGCTGTAACATGTTGGTAACTGTTGTAAACTGTGTTCTCTAGACACTTTGATGGAGACATCTTCTTCACAGGGCAGAAGACTTTGCGCCTGTACTTTTTGTGCCCCTGGGTGGGTTGGCCACAGCACGTGCACAACGGCAGCTTTTGAACACGGGACACTTTGGCTCCTACTCCCGAGGGCTCGTCCATCCCCTTGCGCTTGTCAAGCGTGGACCTTGCCCAGGATGAGGGAATGCACTCGAGAGTAGTGGGGACAGACACATCAGCAGACGGGGTTGCCTGAATGGCAGGCAGTAAGGGCATTGAGGAGGGGCTAGCAATGGCTGGGGTTGGCTGACTGGCAGGCAGGATGGGGCCAGGGAAAAGGGAGGGCACAGGTCTGGCAATGGTACTGGTGGCAGGCAGTATGGGACGTCCAGCAATGGCAGGCACGATGGGCCTCGTGGAGGGGCCAGCAATCACCGGGTTGCTGTGGATGGAGAGGGGGAGGGCAAAGGGCTGGGGTTGGTGGCCGTGGCACAGCTGGCAGTGATATCTGAGGGTGTGAGAGAGGCATGATCATGTCCCTCCTTCCCTTCAATGACTTGGTCCCTGCCGTGCTGGGTGTCGGCACGTGCTGCATCAGTGGGTAGTCTGGTGGAGGGAGGACTGCTGGCTGGTGTGGCGCTGGAGGCAAGTGGGCAGAGGAAACGGAAGTGGTCTTTGAGAGCATCGACTGGCTGGTTGGTCGCACGCAGGTTGAGGAGGCATTCTTGAGCGCAGATAAAGTCACGCACCGTCTTAATGTTTATCTTTGGCAGCGGAAAGCCTGCTTGAGACAAGACGGGATCGTCCACCAAAACCCGGTGCTGGATCCTCTCGTACGCCTTCAAGATAGTGGTCTTCTCTGGGCTTGTGCGAGAACCCTGTGGTGACTTCAACCACAGCAGTTTCACCAGCGTGTACATAAGCATGTTGTGCATTGCACTAATGTCCTGTTGTGCTGGTGTGTAGGCGATCGGCCTTACTGGAGTGCAATTGCGAGGGACGCCATTGGACCGAATCTTTAGGAAAAGAAAAATGAAATTTGATGGGAGGGGACACTTTCAGATCATTTACATATTGACAGAATGCCAATGAGGATATTGGCTCCCTCGTGTGGTCGTAGTGTGATGTGAACACCTTGATGTTGTTGTCGTCAATCAATCAGTTGATATAGTATACTAGGTCTATTTTCAACAAATGTATTAATAAGAGAGCACCTTGCATTTAATTGATAGCATCACTGTTTTCTGTCATTAATTGTATTATTATTAAAGTATATCATTGGATTTATTCCCATTACTGTTTATTCCCATTACTGTAGTTTTCAATCAGATGTGAGAATTATTTCTTCTCCCTAATGACATTTATTTACATGTCACTTCTATCTTTCTAAAGGCACAGACTTGTTTTGTGTTATATGTATATTTGTACACACATAATTCATGTTATTTATTCATTAATGTACTTATTGTTTCTCTCTCTCTCTCTCTAGGTCGTCCTCAGACGAGCCCTCCATCATCGCTTCCAGTCATCCCGGTTCTCCATACATCTGGCCAGTTCATTGGTACTTTGTGCTCCTGCGTCGTTCTTGAGTACGGCCACGTATGTTTGTGCGGGACGTCCTCGTGACCATTGAAATAAAGCTTATTTCATTCAAATGTGTCTTTTCTTCAGTGAGATATCTTTATGGATTTCCTTATGACTTGAGAGTCTGATTAAAGTGGTTTAATATTTCTGAGTCTGACTCAAGCAACTTAAGTGTTTGCTTTTGGGCAGTCATCTGAACATTGTGTACTGTGCAAGTAATGTGGCACTCTACCTTTGTCCCTATATTTAGATAAACAAATGAATCCCCATTATTCCATTCAATAATTCATATTTTGTTATGTACATACAAGTATTTACATATAATAAATAGATAATTAAAGCCTATAATATCAGATACATTTGAATGTAACAATTGCACTGATGGCTCTGTGTTTTGTCACCAATATTATATTTTAGTTGGCACTGCCTCCACGGCTATGGTTATGGCATGATAAGAACTGCTCTGTATTCCTAAAGTTTGACCTTTCTGGCAAAATATTTAATTGATTGAGTATAAATGATGGCAACAGCATAAACTAAGGTAAACACAGGTACAAAAGCTCAAG